GGGGCTCGGAGACTGGGGGGGACATCATGGAGAGGTGCTGAGATGAGGGGACACACAGGGACTTGGGGGTGGGAGGGACAGGGACAGCCTGGAGCAGCTCTGAGACATGGGGGGACACGGGGCAGGGAAGGACAGGGACAGTCTGGAGGGGGACAGGGACAGCCTGGCCTTGTCACACAGTGCTCTGGGGACACAGGGGACATGGGGACATGGGGTGGGGACGGCCTGGAGAGGTGCTGAGATGAGGGGACACACAGGGATTTGGGGGTGGGAGGGACAGGGACAGCCTGGAGGGGCTCTGAGACACGGGGGGACATCATGGGACAAGGTTGTGAGGGACAGGGACAGCCTGGAGAGGGACAGGGACACTGTGGGACAAGGTTGTGAGGGACAGGGACAGCCTGGAGAGGGACAGGGACAGCCTGGCCTTGTCACACAGTGTCACAGGGACAGCCTGGAGAGGGACAGGGACACCATGGCCTTGTCACACAGTGTCACAAGGACAGCCTGGAGAGGGACAGGGACACCACGGCCTTGTCACACAGTGTCACAGGGACAGCCAGGAGAGGGACAGGGACAGCCTGGCCTTGTCACACAGTGTCACAGGGACAGGGCTGTGAGGGACAGGGACACCATGGCCTTGTCACACAGTGTCACAGGGACAGCCTGGACAGGGACAGGGACACGGGGACAAGGACACGGGGGACAGCCTGGACAGGGACAGGGACACGGGGGACAAGGACACAGGGACAGGGACACAGGGACGGTGTGGCCGTGTCACTCATCGTTCCTTGAGGGATGGTGGCCCTTGGGGACATCGGAGCTGCTCTGTGTCCCTCAGCTCTGTTCTTGTCCCTTTTCCTGTCCCCGAGGTGGCCCTTGGGGACGCTCGTGTCACCATAAACCATTGTCCCTCCCGTGGCCTCGTCTCTTCTTTGGCTGGGGACATTTTGGGGTGTTCCCTGTGTCCCTTGGAGCCCCGTGGGGACATCTGCCACCCCCTTGGGGACAGAGGGACAGTGGGGGAGTTTGGGGTAGGGTTTTGGGGGATATTTTGGGTTTTTTTTTGGGGGGGGAGTGGTTTTTTTTTTGGTTTTTTTGGGTTTATTTTAAAGGTTTTTAAAGGTTTTTTGGGGGTTTTGGGGGTTTTTTGGGGGGTTTTGGGGTTTTTTTGGGTTTTAAGGGTTTTGGGGGGAATTTTGGGGTTTTTTTAGTGAGTTTTTTTGGAGGGTTTCTTTGTTTTGGGGGTTTTGATTTTTTGTGGAGATTTTTTTGGGGTTTGTTTTGGTTTTTGGTTTTTTCGGGAGGGGTTTTTTTGGGGGAATTTTTGGAGTTTTTTCTTTGTTTGTTTTGGGTTGGGGTGTTTTTTTTTTTTGTTTTGTTTTGTTTTTTGTTTTGTTTTGGTTTGGTTTTTTGGGGTTTTTTTTTTGTTTTTTTTATGTTTTTTGGGGGGGCTGGGGGTGCCCAGGGATGCATTTCAGTCCTCCCCGCCGCCAGGGGGCGCCGCGCATCCGCATCCCTCCGCTGCCCTTCCGCCATTTCCGCTTCCGGCGCGCGGCGTTTCCGGCTTCGCCGCCATTTTCGCCGCCATTGCCCCGGGCCCGGTGCCGCCGCCATGGGCGCTCACCTGGGCCGGCGCTACCTGTGGGACGCCGAGGCCGAGCCCGACCCGCTGCACATGCCGTCCTTCCCCGCCGAGCTGGGCATGCCGCTCCGCCAGCCGCGCGGTCAGTGCGGGGACACCGCCACACCGGGGGGACAGCGGGAGGGGACGCGGGGGGGGCGCGGTGGCCTTGGGGTGACCCCGGTGACCTCCCGGCGCTCCCCCCTGCGTGTGACTCCCGGTGCCACCCCCCGTGTCCTGTCCCCACGTGCCACACGGGTGTCGATGTCCCCGCGCTGCCACCCCGTGTCCCCTCTGTCACACCCTGTCCCCTGATTGTCCCCATTCTGGCTGGGTGCTCAGGGTCCCTGAGTGTCCCCTCTGTCCCTGTCCCCTCGGTTTGTCCCCATGTCCCAGCAATGCTGAGTGTCCCTGAATGTCCCTGAATGTCCTTGACTGTCCTTGTCCCTGGGTGTCCCTGACTGTCCCTGTCCCCTCTGTGTGACAGCCATGGTGGCCTCGGCCCAGGGCCGCGTGTCCCCTCTGTCCCTGACTGTCCCTGTCCCCTGTCTGTGACAGCCATGGTGGCCTCAGCGGCGCAGCTGGCCCAGGGCCGCGTGTCCCTGGAGCAGAGGGATTTCTGCGGGCACCACCTGCTGCGGCTGCTGCGCTGCCACCGCGACAACTTCCCCGTGCCATGGGGCTGCCACGCGCTGCGCCACGCCTGGGACAGCTGCCAGCATGAGGAGTAAGGGACAGGGACATGGGGACATTGGGGACATCATGGGGACATTGGGGGGACACAGCTGGGACAGCTGCCAGCACCACAAGTAAGGGACATGGGGACACTGGGGACATTGGGGACATTGGGGACATCATGGGGACATTGGGGACAGCGTGGGGACATGGGGCTGCCACGCGCTGCGCCACGCCTGGGACAGCTGCCAGCACCAGGAGTAAGGGACATTGGGGACAGCGTGGGGACATCATGGGGACATGGAGGGGCATTGGGGGGACGCGGCTGGGACAGCTGCCAGCATGAGGAGTAAGGGACAGGGACATTGGGGACAGCTTGAGGACATTGGGGGACATCATGGGGACATGGGGCTGCCACGCGCTGCGCCACGCCTGGGACAGCTGCCAGCACCAGGAGTAAGGGACAGGGACATGGGGACACTGGGGACATTGGGGGACACGGCTGGGACAGCTGCCAGCACCACGAGTAAGGGACATGGGGACATTGGGGACATCATGGGGGGACACACCTGGGACAGCTGCCAGCACCACGAGTAAGGGACATGGGGACACTGGGGACAGCGTGGGGACATCATGGGGAGGCACTGGGGGACACGGCTGGCACAGCTGCCAGCAGCAGGAGTAGGATGTGGGGACATCATGGGGACACAGGGACATTGGGGGACACTGGGAGATTGGCTGTGCCACAGCTGCCAGCATGAGGAGTGAGGGACATGGGGACAGATAGGATGTGGGGACATCATGGGGACACAGGGACATTGGGGGACACTGGGAGATTGGCTGTGCCACAGCTGCCAGCATGAGTGAGGGACATGGGGACAGCGTGGGGACATCATGGGGACATGGAGGGACATCGGGGGGACACAGCTGGGACACGGCTGCCAGCACCAGGAGCAGGACGTGGGGACACGGGGACAGCAGGGACACGTCTGGGCGGTGACGGGGACATGGCGGGATGTGGCTTGGGGACACGGGGCCACCACGGTGCCACCGCCACCCCGCTGTCTGTGCTCCTGCTGTGGCCGTGGTGACACGCGGTGACACACGGTGACACAGTGACACGTGGTGACACGCGGTGACACGCGGTGACACGGTGCCACCTGTCCCAGCTACGTGATGCGCATGAAGGAGTTCGAGCGCGAGCGGCGCCTGCGGCTGCGGCAGCAACGGCTGCGACAGCGCCGCGGGGACAGCGGGGACAGCGAGTGACAGACGGGACACCGCGGGGACAGCGGGGACAGCGAGTGACAGACGGGACTCCGCGGGGACAGCGGGGACAGCGAGTGACAGACGGGACACCGCGGGGACAGCGGGGACAGCGAGTGACAGACGGGACACCGCGGGGACAGCGGGGACAGCGAGTGACAGACGGGACACCGCGGGGACAGCGGGGACAGCGAGTGACAGACGGGACACCGCGGGGACAGCGGGGACAGCGAGTGACAGACGGGACACCGCGGGGACAGCGGGGACAGCGAGTGACAGACGGGACACCGCGGGGACAGCGGGGACAGCGAGTGACAGACGGGACACCGCGGGGACAGCGGGGACAGCGAGTGACAGACGGGACACCGCGGGGACAGCGGGGACAGCGAGTGACAGACGGGACACCGCGGGGACAGCGGGGACAGCGAGTGACAGACGGGACACCGCGGGGACAGCGGGGACAGCGAGTGACAGACGGGACACCGCGGGGACAGCGGGGACAGCGAGTGACAGACGGGACACCGCGGGGACAGCGGGGACAGCGAGTGACAGACGGGACACCGCGGGGACAGCGGGGACAGCGAGTGACAGACGGGACACCGCGGGGACAGCGGGGACAGCGAGTGACAGACGGGACACCGCGGGGACAGCGGGGACAGCGAGTGACAGACGGGACACCGCGGGGACAGCGGGGACAGCGAGTGACAGACGGGACACCGCGGGGACAGCGGGGACAGCGAGTGACAGACGGGACACCGCGGGGACAGCGGGGACAGCGAGTGACAGACGGGACACCGCGGGGACAGCGGGGACAGCGAGTGACAGACGGGACACCGCGGGGACAGCGGGGACAGCGAGTGACAGACGGGACACCGCGGGGACAGCGGGGACAGCGAGTGACAGACGGGACACCGCGGGGACAGCGGGGACAGCGAGTGACAGACGGGACACCGCGGGGACAGCGGGGACAGCGAGTGACAGACGGGACACCGCGGGGACAGCGGGGACAGCGAGTGACAGACGGGACACCGCGGGGACAGCGGGGACAGCGAGTGACAGACGGGACACCGCGGGGACAGCGGGGACAGCGAGTGACAGACGGGACACCGCGGGGACAGCGGGGACAGCGAGTGACAGACGGGACACCGCGGGGACAGCGGGGACAGCGAGTGACAGACGGGACACCGCGGGGACAGCGGGGACAGCGAGTGACAGACGGGACACCGCGGGGACAGCGGGGACAGCGAGTGACAGACGGGAACAAGGACAGCGAGTGACGCTGTGGGGACAACGAGTAACAACAAGTGACACCTGAATGACACTGAGTGACACCGGGAACACTGCGGTGACACCGAGTGACACCCGCGACACCGAGTGACACTGAGTGACACCTGAGTGACACCCGGGGACACCGTGGTGACACCGAGTGACACCGCAGTGACACTGAGTGACATCCGGGACACCAAGTTGACACTGAGTGACACCTGAGTGGCACTGGTGACACCGAGTGACACCCAGGGGACTGAGTGACACCCAATCACACCGAGGACACCGTGGTGACACCTGAGTGACACTGGCAACACCGAGTGACATCTGGGATACTGAGTGACACCCGGGGACACCGAGTGACACCCAAGTGACACTGGAGACACCGAGTGACACCCCGGTGACTGTGACACGAGGCCACCCCGCGCATTAAAGCTGTCAAGTGACACCGCGCTGGCTCGTCACTGCGTTGGGGACATCGCGAAGCCACCGCCCCCCTCCAGCCTGGGGACAGCGGGATTGTCCCCAGAGGTGGCCCTGACCCCCCGGTGTCCCCTGGGAGGGGACAGTGACAGGCCACACGCGGGTGGGGGATGGCATTTATTGTCACCTGCGGGGACAGGGGGAGGGTGGCACTGGGCAGGGGACACGTGGGGGTGACACCGCGGTGTCACCAGGGGTGGCTTCGGGTGACCGGGCCAGCGCTGCAGGGGACACTGCCACCAGGGAGGGGACATCAGGGATGGCACCCTGGAGGTGACACTGCCACCAGGGAGGTGACACTGCCACCAGGGAGGGGACACCAGGGATGGGGCTGTCCCCAGGGCGGTGTCACAGCAGGAAGGGGACACTGGGGCTGTCCCCGCGGTGTCCCCAGGGCGGTGTCACAGCAGGGAGGGGACACTGGGGGCTGTCCCCGCGGTGTCCCCAGGGCGGTGTCACAGCAGGGAGGGGACACTGGGGGCTGTCCCCGCGGTGTCCCCAGGGCGGTGTCACAGCAGGAAGGGCACGATGGGCGAGCGCAGCGGCGGGTAGTCGCGGAACTCGCGCAGGTAACTGCGGTGCTTGCCCTGAGCCCAGATCGCCATCTGCACGAAACCCACCAGCGAGAACAGCGCCACTGCGGGGACAGCGACAGCGACAGCGCTGGCACCGCGGGGACAGCGACAGCGACAGCGCTGGCACCGCGGGGACAGCGACAGCGACAGCGCGGGGACCGCGGGGACAGCGACAGCGACAGCGCTGGCACCGCGGGGACAGCGACAGCGACAGCGCGGGGACCGCGGGGACACCTCAAATCCCCTCAAAATCCACCCAAATCCGCCCAAAATCCACCCAAATCCGCCCAAAATCCACTCAAATCCCCTCAAAATCCACCCAAATCTGCCCAAAATCCCCCTAAATCCACCCCAAAATGCACTCAAATCCCCTCAAAATCCTCCCCAAATCTACCCTGAATCCCTCCTAAATCACCCCTAAATCCAACCCAAATTCCCCCAACCCACCCAAATCCACTCAAATCCACCCCAGATCCCCCAAATTCACCCGAATCACCCCCAAATCCACCCAAGTCCACCCCATATCCCCCCCAAATCCACCTAAACCACCTGAAATTCCCCAAAAATCACCCCCAAAATCCATCAGAAATCCAACACAAATCCCTCAAAATCCATCCCGAATCCACCCAAATCCCCCCAAAATCCACTTAAAACACCACAAATCCACCCCAAATCCCCCCAAAATCCACTTAAAACACCCCAAATCCCCCCCAAATTCCCTCAATCCCCCCAAATCCCCCCCAAAATCCACTTAAAACACCACAAATCCACCCCAAATCCCCCCCCACACCCACCCC